TGCTGCTATCAGCTCCCCACCTGTCGGTCTTCGTCTTAAGATAAATTCTTCCTGCCGCCATTTTGGTGAGGTTTCATGACAAAGGGGTAAAGTCCCACTCAGTTTTTTCCTTCAGTTTAATTTTTCTATTTTAAAAAATCTTTTTGAAAATGTTATTTTTTTAAAGATTTATTTTTATTATTATTATTTTTTTTTTTTAAAGATTTATTTTTCTTATTTTTACATTGGAAAGGCGGATATACAGAGAGGAGAGACAGAGAGGAAGATTTTCCGTCCGATGGTTCACTCCCCAAGTGAGCGCAACGGGCCGATACTATGCCAGTCCGAAGCCAGGAGCCTCTTCCGGGTCTCCCACGCAGGTGCAGGTTCCCAAAGCTTTGGGCTGTCCTCGACTGCTTTCCCAGGCCACAGGCAGGGAGCTGGAAGGGAAGCGGGGCTGCTGGGATTAGAACCGGCGCCCATATGGGATCCCGGGCGTGCAAGGCGAGGACCCTTAACCACTTGCGCCACCACGCCGGGCCCTATTTTTATTATTTTTTATTGGAAAGGCGGATATACAGAGAGGAGAGAGAGGAAGATCTTCCGTCCGATGATTCACTCCCCAAGCGAGCACAACGGGCCGATACTATGCCAGTCCGAAGCCAGGAGCCTCTTCCGGGTCTCCCACGCAGGTGCAGGTTCCCAAAGCCCTGGGCTGTCCTCGACTGCTTTCCCAGGCCACAGGCAGGGAGCTGGAAGGGAAGCGGGGCTGCCGGGATTAGAACAGGCACCCATATGGGATCCCGGGCGTGCAAGGCGAGGACCCTTAACCACTTGCGCCACCGCGCCGGGCCCTATTTTTATTATTTTTTATTGGAAAGGCGGATATACAGAGAGGAGAGACAGAGAGGAAGATCTTCCGTCCAATGATTCACTCCCCAAGTGAGCGCAACGGGCCGATACTATGCAGATCCGAAGCCAGGAGCCTCTTCCGGGTCTTCCACACGGGTGCAGGGTCCCAAAGCTTTGGGCTGTTCTCAACTGCTTTCCCGGGCCACAGGCAGGGAGCTGGAAGGGAAGCGGGGCTGCCGGGATAGAACCGGCGCCCATATGGGATCCCGGGTGTGCAAGGTGAGGACCTTAACCACTGCGTCACCGCGCCGGGCCCGAAAATGTTATTTTTATTTTAAAGGCAGAATTTACAGAGAAAGAGAGAAAGAGAAAGCCTTCTATCATCTGGTTCAGACCCCAAATGGCCGCAACAGCCAAAGCTGAACTGATCCAAAGCCAGGAGTCAGGAGCTTCTTCCATGTCTCCCATGTGGGCAAAGGGCCCCAAAGTAGTAGCCGTGCTGTAAGTACGGAGCTTGATCAGAAGTGGAGCATCTGGGACATGAGTTGGTATCCATTTGGGATGACAGTGCCCCTGGGTGGGAGATGAGTCTGATGTGCCACTGTGCTGGTCCTACATTTTTCTAACTTTTTAAAACATTTGAGATCATCACATTACAGTTCACATTTTTACCTTCATTGCAAGAAACTAATTCATTAAGGCTACAATTCGAGAGCAGGACGATCCCTTCCGATGACATTCATTTCTAATGACTCAATCTTTCAGGGGGAAAAAAAAAAATCTCTCTTTTTTTTTTTTTTAGTTTTCAAAAAAGGTTCAGGAATAAGCCTGGAGTTGGTCGCCAACAACCAGGAGTCTGACTCATTGGCTCCACCTTCTGGTCTCTGGCAGGAAAAGGCAGGCCAGGTGAGGAAGCCACCTGTGGTTTGGCTGGCTGTGTGAGATGAGTCTCCAGGAATGCTGTGAAGCTATCTCCAACTGGCAGACAAACTTCGGAGCCAAAATTTCTGCACCCGCTTCTCACACCGCTAGTTGTGAGCACTAGGGACCTCCGTGCATGATCAAATCCACTGTTTATCATGCCTTTCTCCTTATAGCTTTTCCTGCAGCTTCTACACCACACCCACCGCCTCCTTCTCGGGCTCCAGGGCCTCAGAGGAGGTAGAGAGGGAGAAGTGCCCACTGTCTGTTTCCTAGACCCCCATTTCACACTCCTCTGTCTGCACACACTGAATGTGCTACCTGCGCAAAATCAGTAGTATTTGTTCAAGTCTTGAGGAAGTTACCCTTTGTGTTTCTTTCCAAACATATGGGAAATGGGTCATGGTCTCAGGAGCCCAATGTCTACAACAATAAGCCCTGCAACTTCCTCTCCCCCACTCCACAAACTGGTAGAATTTCCAAGGTTTGCCACCAAGTCACTCTTGCCTTACTTGGGAGACGTTTGCAAGCTAGGAAGAGCCAGAGCTACTGCCTCATTTCTAATGAGATGTTTGCAAGCTGGGTTGGCCTTGGGGTAGGCTCGAATGCCAGAAACAGCTGTGCAATACTTCCCTGTGCCCTGCCCCAGCCTCCATGGGGACAATCCCATCCTCCTCCCCCGAGCCTGATTAACCCAACGGATTTTTTTTCAGTCTCAGTAAACAAGAAACCCAATACATATACCTCACATGTGGGTGTGAAAACGGAAAACAAGAGCTTCTTTGATGCATCACTTCAATTACTCCCGCAAGTCATGTCTCAAGGTTTTAATAAACAGGCTACAAAAATTCTCCATAAATGATAACTGAAAATTCTGCTTTGAGTACAAATACGTGGTAAGTACTAACACACGTGCTATGTGCAAGAACAAAGCTATCTGCACTAATATATTCTAGATTATACATTGGAGTGTTAAGTCTAGCAAGGTACAGGAGCATCCGATAGAGTGTGTGTCTATAGAAGATACAAATTGAGGGCCACCCCCAGGGTTGCCCCAACTTGTTTCTATTCGCAAAAACAGATACCATTAACTCCCCTAGGAATGTAGAATATTCTGTGTCACATTAAGAAAGTCAGGATGCCTCTACAGCTGGTTCAACCACGGGATTAAACATGTGATGTGCATGGCTTAAGTCTTTAAAAGGACAATTCTGCATAGAAGAATGAGCTGCAAATTTAAAGCCAGGTTTGGTTTTTGGTGTTTGTTCCAGTAAGTAACAACATAAAAGTTGCTCCAGGTGATGATTTTGAATCTCAGCTCTGGCCTGTCATCGTCGCCATCACCAACAGCACCTTCTCTTTACAGAGGAGGAAGTCCAAACCGTTTCCCTGGTCCCTTTGAAAGTCTGCCTTTGAAAGTGCTTTATTAACAGCTCTGTAAAGAATGCAGGACACCGTGACTCATCCCACCAGGAATGGGCTCTGTTTTTCTGTTTTTACTTGGATCAAAACTCTAAAACAATCATACCAAAACTCTAAAATCACAGAGCAAGAAGAAACAGGACAGGCACATAGTAATCTCTGTGTCTTTGTGCATGCTTGAAATTTCTGACAGTGAGGTCTGTTTTAAGTTTTGAAGGGATTGGTTTGTTTTGCTGAGATTCAGACAGTTACACATATATACAGGGAGCTCCCATTTTGTGTTCATTCCCAAAATACCCACAACAGCCTAGCGAGGGTTGGCACTGCAGCCTGGATCCCAGAATGCAATCCAGGTCCCCGCTGTGTTGCCAGGAGTCCACTTCCTTTGGCCCTTCACTGCCTCCCAGAATCTGCAGGAAATTGGAGTCAAGAGACTGAGTCAGGAATCAAATCCAGGTACCCTGCTGAGGGATGCAGGCACCTCAACCACCAGCTTAAATGCCGACCCTCTTTTAAAAATTTTATTACAACTACTCTATTTGTTATTATTTTTAATCCCCTGTTTAAGCTGCACAGTATTTTTACAATTCTCCACTTTTTCTGGCTTTCCATTGTTACAAGCCAATGTTGACTACTAAGTTTCTCTCTAAAGAGCTAAGATCAGTTTCTTCTATGTCCTTCCTAAATGGGAGGAGCCCAGGACTGCCCCAAAGACAGACTGACAGATGACACACAGGTCTCTTTTGGCAAACAGGAAAGAGGCTATTTGGTGGTGGGATGTTTACCAGTGAGCCTCGTCTCTCTTTGCCGGCCAGAAAGACAGACATGTCTCCCCCTAACCAGAGCCAGTCTCCCAGGGGGAGTTGCCCGAGTCTGAGTCCTCCATCCAGTAACCCTAAGGGAGCTGGGGAGGTCTCATGGGGCTACTGAGGCAGATCACCCTGCACCTCACCCTAATTCAGCACATGGAAGTTAAGACCTTTCACCCTCACGGTTCCCCTGTCGCTTCTCACCCATTACTGCTGGACCAAAGCTGTTCTGATGCATCTCCCTTTATATGCCATCACCTCCCTCTTTCTCTAAATGCCTTCACAATCTTAGTACTTTCGCTATAAAATTTAATAGCACTCTGGGTGGGTTCTCTCTCCATTGCTTTCTGCTGGACAGCTAGCACATTTTTCGTCATTTGAAGATGGTGTCTACAGCCTTGGGAGATTTTCTTCCATTTTCCCTGAAATTTTCTCTCCTGTTCTCTCAGTTTCCCCTGCTCCTTCGGGCCGAGGTTCTTCCCAATCACAGGTGGGACTCCTCTGCTGTGTCTCTCATGTTCAATGCTTTTGATTTTTAATTCTACTCTCCAACTACTACTTCTGAGTGTTCCACTTCCCAAGATTTCTCCAATCTCATCTTCCAGTTTAACTCATACTTGAGTAATCATACTTTTACTTCCAATAACTCTAATTACCTTACGCTTCTTTTTTCCATAGCAGCCTGAATTCTCAGAGACCAATGCCAAGAATTTCCTCCACATTACATGGTACTTTAATACATTTATACAGTTTTTGTCTGTTAATGAGAAATTAAAAAAAAAAAAAAAAGAATTTCAAGTTAGGGGAAAATGTTCTTCTTCTAAACTACTTAATTTTTGTTCACATTTTTGGTCCAGCATGTTTTTTTTATATGTGTTCACCTAAGTCCATATGTCTGATTCCATACAACCAAGAAAGAGGGTCACCCCCCGTGCAAATAGGAATTCGTGCATTCCTTTCTGACAACGCCTAGTACATGGAAAACAGCGAGGCGTGCGCTGGGAGGAGCCAGCTTACCTTCATGGAGTCAGAGTACAAGATGTATTCCCTGAGCACGGGCAGGAAGTCCTCAGTCATGTCATCTGTCAGCTCCTCCAAGGCGGTAGAGCAGTTTCCAATGCAGGCCGACACACCCTCCAAGGGCTCGGCCAGCTCACCCTCCAGCACGCTCCACGTGGAGTACACAGGTCCGTATTCCCTCAGCTCCACAAGGTACTCTGAAATGGGGAAGAGAAAACCAGTCAAGATCCGGCCGGGCTGAACGCACGGGGTTTGCTCACTCAGCATCGTCAGCGCAGCCAAGAGCTCCCTGCGCCGAGGCAGGTTTCCACGGCTCTTCATTCACCTGAGCACATTCTCCTTCAACAATTCTTTCTTTTCCTTAATCAGCAAACATTTTTATATATATATATATACAATTTGGTTGGCACTGTGCTCTCCCCTCCCCTTCCCCAAGTTCCCTGCCCTCCTCTCTGTTCTCTCCTCTAGGTCCATAATGTGTGTCTTTCGTGAATTTTTCCAAGTCCATCATGCTTCCACTGGAATGTCTCACAACCATGTGGGAGACCGATATTTCTCTGTGGGTTCATTTTTGTATACTGGGGCCCTAATGTAGGTACAGTGAGGATTAGATCTTCATTATTTAAGGGGCAGTACCAATAACAGTGATAAAGGGGACACTGACCATCTCAGGTGATTATAAACACTCAGCCTCTTATGGATGGAACATGTTCTGTTTCTTATGTACTTTTTAAAGCCTGACTGTGAACACCATAACATTCATCTATCCCAGCCCATGATGGGAACGCCAGGCCATGCGTAGCAGGGACCACAAGACCTTATGGGGAAATGCAAGAGTTCCACCCACTAAACACCTGTAAAAACAACTGCCGGGGGCAGGTGCTATGGTGCAATGAATAAAGCTGCTGAGTGCACCACGAGCATATCATACGGGTACCAGTTTGAGTACTGGCTGCTCCACTTCTGATTCATCTCCATCCTAAAGCACCTGGGAAAGCACCACAATATGCCTCAAGTGCCTGGGCCCCTGCACCCATGAGGGAGACCTGGAAGAACCTCTGGCTCCTGGCTTCCAACAAGCCTAGTTCAGGCTCTTGCTCCCATTTGGGGAGTGAACCAGCAGATGAAAGTACTTTATCTCTCTCTCTTTCTCTCCCTCTCTGTAACTCTGCCTTTAAAAAAAATAAACAAACAACAATAACAATAAAAACGACCACTTGTCTATCTGTACTCTGAAGTAGTACTTTAACAGGCATTGAGGGCTGAGTTTCACATAAATATAGGGGGATAATTTTAAAGTGGGGGAAAAAGGGCCCAGCATAGTAACCTAGCGGCTGAAGTCCTTGCCTTGCATGTGCCAGGATCCCCTATTGGCACCAGTTCTAATCCTGGCAGCCCCACTCCTCATCTTGTTCCCTGTCTGTGGCCTGGGAGGGCAGTGAAGGACGCCCCAGAGCCTTAGGATCTTGTCCTTGCATGAGAGACCCAAGGTGGGCTCCTGGATCCTGCCTTTGGATTGGCTCAGCTCCAGCCAGATGGAAGATTTTCCTCTCTGTCTCTCCTCCTCTCTGTGTGTCTGACTTTCCAGTAAAAAAAAAATAATAATAATAAATGGATCTTTAAAAAAATAATAATAAAGTGGGGAAAAATCAGTCACAATTCAAAAAGACTGGCATTTTAGGAACGTTTTTTTCTATGGAGATGAGTCATAGAATCAGTCCCTCACTCAGTAGCCGTCCCAACTCCATGTGATGGTTAGTGCAGTCAGCACCACAGCTGTCTTTGCAGGTCCCACACTGCTAAAGGTGAGGAAATATACACAGGGGGCAAAAAAAAAAAGTTGGCCTATCATTTATCACCAGAACTCTTGTCATTCCTAAAAAATGTGACTACCATTTATTAACCAATGAATAGCCAGCTACTGTGCCGGCATGATCAATGCCACCGTCCATATTTGTCTGGTCGACACATGTGTAAGGAGACAAAAGACCAGCCATCCTGGGACATGGCAAAGCAAGTGGCCCTAAGAGGGGCAGCATGGAGGTGACAGCAAGAACCAGGCAAGATAAGCACGGGTCGAGCCAGCAGCCCGGCTCCAGTGAGTCTGAAACGAGGCAGGGGGGACTGAGTGAGTCGTTTTCAAGTCTCCAGGCTCACTGGGGTCAGAACCTTGGCAAGCCCAAGTCACCATGCTGCTATTCTCTTGAATCACCTTTCTGCCAGGAGGAAACAGCTCACTTTGCTTTGAAAGTTCTGCTTCCTATGGATGAAGAGCAGCTGAGTCCACAGCTCCACTGCTGAAACTACTTTAACAGCCACAGGAGAGGAAAGGTCTAGAATCTGAGAAGTGGTTGCTTGCCATGAGAAAAGCAAACACAAGGCTGAGCCACAGGTTGCATCACGGCGTGCAAGATGACACTCAAGCTGCAGGCAGCTCCTTCCCTCCTTGCTTGCCTTGGTTTCATGCATGCTGTATGGCCTGCTTCCATCACCCCAGTTTAATTTCTGCAGTGTGACTCAGCTTTGCACACCTGCATGCCTTGTCTGCCACCAGGATCCCAGTGCTTGACCAGGACGGAGGAGCTCACCTATTTCTTCCTTGATGATCCGCTGGGCTATCCGGTCGATGGTTCCCAGTTTGAGAGCAAACGTATCCAAGTACTCGCCGATGGCTGCAAACTCCAGAGGCCGACTCCTCAGCTTGTAGCCCCCAGTGACGTGCTTGACGGACTCGCCCACTCGGGTCAGCAGGGCCATGCCTTGCTTCTTGTAGGCATTCAGGTCCTAAGGATGACCCAGGAATGACTCAAGGCACTCAATCACCCACTGCCCGGATCTGGTCAACCAACTCCTCACAACAGCTCCCATGTGGGCATGGAAACCGCAGAAGACCAGGAAATGAGTTCAAGAACTCAGTGGGAGTCCCACCTGACCCACAGTGTGTGCTGGCCATCATCCTGTTCCTCCTGCAAAGCTGGACTCCGACGCTTCCATTAAGCTCACTCATCTGAGCACAATTTGCCCTTCAAACACAGCAGTGGTTCCAAAATAATTTTTAGAACCTATGATTTTTTTTAAATCTCCTTTTCCCATACATAATATAGTATGTGATCTCCAGGAACAAAATTAAGGAGCCAGGTTTCTGAAATGTGCTCCATTCACATACAGACACATACACAGATCCATGCATCCCAATCTCATTCAATAAGATCCACACAAGCAAAGCAGAACTCAGGGAATGATGACAGCAGCCGGTGGCTGGCAGCTCGTGAAGGACAACTCAGCTGCCACCTGAAACAGCAACCCCCCAGTCAGTGCAGCATTTCAAGTACCAGTTACATTTTATCCAGTTCAGCTCCCTGCTAATGTGCATGCAAAAGCAGCAAAAGATGGCCTGAGTATCTGGGCTCCTGACATCTATGCAGAAAGCCTAGATGGAGTTCCAGGCTTTTGGTTTTGGCCTGGCCCAAGCCCAGTCTTGACCTTGCAGTCACTTGCGGTGTGAACAACCACACAGATGATCTCTTTCTCTGTTACTCTGCCTTTCAATAAAGTAAAATAAATCTTGTTTTTGAGATAATAATGTTTATTATTGTTCATTCACAGCCCTCCCTGAAATCCTTTTTTATTATTATTAATTATATTGCATTATGTGACACAGTTTCATAGGCTCTGGGATTCTCCCAACCCCTCCCCATGCCCTTCTCCCTTTTGAAAAAAGAAAGGAAGACAGAAAGAGAAAGAAGGGGGGGAAGGGGAAGGAAAAAAATTAAAGAAAAAAAACCCTCCAACTATGGTACATGTAAATAACTCTGAATTTCTTCCAGGTTAATCAAAAACAGAAGGTATGTTGAGCCTCCTACCTACCCTCAGGACAGACAGACTGCTCATTCCCAGCTCCTTGGGGGTGAGGGTGGGGACCCAACAGGCAGCTATAGCTTTCCAGGGACTGAGTTCTGATGTGAGAATAAAGCAGAGAATGAGGCATTAGGGGTTACTGTAGCTGCCTCATTGGACACAGGCTCAGGTTTGGGTCACCACCAGCACAGGCAGCAGAGACTCCCTAGTGATGTCACTCCTCCATGCAGTCAAGGCTCTTGATTATGTTCTGGTTCCTACCCAAAGCTAGCCCTGCTCCCACTCCTGGCTGTCTCTTCAGCTTCTAATTCTCTAGCCTGAAAACACATGCAGGGCTCAACCACCTGAAAGGTGACAGCCATGTTCCGATATCCACTCTGTCTCTCGCCTTCCCTTCACAGTCACCCTCCCTCGGAGGACATCCGCAACCTTCCACGTGTCCTTTGTCATTCCCAAAAACATCCTTGGATGCACCAGGCCTTCCTAAGGCCATCGCTGAAGCTCCCGAGTCCTTGTGACTGCTTCTGTAGGTGGGGTGTGCTACGGAGCAGGGCTAGGTTCAGATGGGCACCCTGGGCAGTAGCAGTAGCAGTATTATCTGCTACGTTCAGGGAGAACTTTGGAGGGTGGTCCCAGGGACACCAAGGCAGAGCACACAGATAGAACGAGATCATCAAAACAATATTAGCTGAGAAGGGAGCTGAGGGGTGGGGACAGAGGACAACGGGAGCTGTTATTGGAAGGACAGAGTTCAGGTTTGCAAGAAGAAAAAGTTCTGTAGTGGGGCCACACACGCAACTTGAACATGCTTTAACACCACTGAACAGGACACTCAGAGGCAGTTAAGAAGGCAGATTGTATATCATGTGTATTTTACCATAGTTAGAAATCTAAAACAAGAAAAAAATCTAGCTATTAAGTACATTTAGTTCAGGAACAAAAACTGCAGTAAGGCTAGAATTTGTTCTGCTTCAACTCATCTAATTCATATTAGTCATATTTAATTGGATTTTGATTAAGACACTGAAAGACTTTTATGTTTTTTAAAAATATTTTTCATGCCACTTGGCCCAGAGCTATATAAATCAATCCATCACTCTTTTACACACACACACACCCCTTTCTACTGCTTACTTTCAGAGGGGCAAGGAGACAGAGACATTTAGAAAGAAAGAGCACGCTCTCATTAACTGCTTCACATCCCATATGCCAGGATTGGAAATCCAGCTGCACATCTCCCACGTGAGTGGCGGCACCCCAGCACCTTGAGCCCTCCCTGCGGCTGCCTGGGGTTTGTGTTAGCAGGAAGCTTAAATCGGGACCGCGTCAAGAACGGAACCCAGGCAAGACCTGAACACGGCTGCCCCAGTCAGCCTCTCAGCCAAGAAGCCAAACGCCCACCCACCTACTTCTCCAAGAAAATTCCTCATGCAAATTTAAAATGGGTTTTGTTGAGAAAGGCAAAAATATTTTTGTTCACACATGTCCCTAGTGCCACAGTATGGGAAAAGAGGCAGGCACAGGACCAGCCCAAATCTCTATAGTCTGTTTGAGTTCAAGACAGATCAAACCACTGGAGTCTCTCATCCAGATGCCAACAAGAACCAACACATCACCCTGGGGACAGGACACACTGACAGAGCGATTGGAGAATCCCAAGAAATACATCCCTGGAACCAAATGATCTTTCCTGGCCTTAAGAGAGGAATGAAAGCAGGGACTTGATAGCTTATATTAAAAAAAATTTTTTTTAAACCTACTAATAAGGGGCCAACACAATAGCGTAGCAGTTAAAGTCCTCGCCTTGAATGCACCAGGATCCCAAATGGGCACCGGTTCTAATCCTGGCAGCCCCGATTCCCATCCAGCTCCCTGCCTGTAGCCTGGGAAAGCAGTCAAGGACGGACCAAGGCCTTGGGACCCTGCACCCGTGTGGGAGACCTGGAAGAAGCTCCTGGCTTCGGAATGGCTTAGCTACAGCCGCTGCAGCCGCTTGGGGAGTAAACCATCGGACAGAAGGTATTTCTGTCTCTCCTCCTATCTGCCTTTCCAATAAAAATAAGTAAATCTTTTTTTTTAAAAAGCTACTAATGAGTAACAGGTGGGCACCACCTTATTTATTACATAACAAAAATGTCTCATGACTTTTTTATGTGCACCATAATCTGTCTCATATCCCAGAAATCAGATCATGAATACAGATGACAGAATATTTTTATTCAACATTCCTGATTTTAAGTAAGAGTGCCTTCTGTGGGTAAACAAATATGATTGGGTTTGTTAAAATTTTGGTAGTGATTCCAGTCCAGCAAATGTTTCCCCTAAAGCTATGAGGGGACTTACCGGTAATGTTCAACTTTTTACAAAAATGGTAAACGCCATCGCAAAATTGTTAGAAGCACGTATACATTCAAATGCTGGGAAAATCTTGTCACTATCTCAGACCCCAGCAAGACTCACTTGTGTTTCTGTTTGCACTCTCTTATCTGCTAAAAGCAAGAGCTGAGAAATATGTACTTCCTACTTCAGGCCTTCCCCTGATCTAATCAGGATCTCCCGTATCTGAACTGCTGCCTCTCCCTTCTTCAAAGCCACTTCTGCGGTTTATGCGTGTCAAGGGAAGACTACTTTACACCGCTCACATTTCGCAGGTGATTTTTAAAGTCAAGTGGTTTCAAAGTTAGTCTGACCAGAGTAACAAGTTCAACTTCACTTTTGAATTCTTTGTGACTTTGATCTAAGTCATAATTTGTGATTGTCTATAAACGGCTATTTGGAAACATAAAAATTGGGAAACTATACATTCATGTTTCAGCAACAGCGTTTTTGCCAATTCATTAGAACGACCGACACAGACGAGCTAGACCACAGGCACAACATTTCTAAATGATGTGATCACAAGACCTCATGAACAAAATTGTATATCATGGAGAAGCAAAAAAAGAAAGCACGCAAATTCAACCTGTGTTTGAAAAGGCCTCTAAGAGAAACGGACAAGGAACAGGGTGGAATGTCACCCACAATGCTAAATGCCAAGTGAGGGTTAAAAAAAATCCAAACAAAAGACTGCTCTCTGGAGCCTTTAACGCCTTCCAATGTTCCCTGCAAACTTTCTTTGTAATTGCGAAAAGGCAAATAGGGAAGCATGCAGACTCGAAACCCTTGCCCTCCTGAGACGTGTGTCTGGCTGAACGCGGGAGTATGACACCTGAAGCTAAGTGGCTGGAGACAATGACCACAGGCCTCCTACCCGGTTGTTCTGGCCGGTCCTGCCACAGGTAAGAGTTAGTGAACAGCCACATGACGTGAATGCACAGGAGTTGACAAACTCCTGGCCAATGCTTGGAACACGCTTACCTGACAAGTGAGGGTCAGTCTGATACGGGGCAAAGTGGGAGTTCAGGAGCCACAAAGGCCCAAGTCCAAATCCCAGTGATGCCTCTTGAGTAAGCACCACCCTCCAAACTCCGTTTCCCTCTGTGCAAACCAAGCTGGGCTCTTGCGAATAGCATACTCAGCAAACGCTCTCGAGCGTACCTCCTCTCCCTCCTGGCCCTGCACGGAAGCCGTCACAAGTGCCTCAGGAACCTCTGCGCTTCTGACAAGCGAAATAGTCTCACTTCCTCTGCTCATTGCCAACTGGTTGGCTGTGAAAGAGGAAGCCTGAGGTGGTAGAGGGGGAGTCTCCAGAAACCTACCATGGAAACTGCAAGTGCATCCCAAGACGTGAAGCAATCGCCCACATCTGCTGATCGGGCTGGGTGTGAAGGCGGCTAGGGAGGGGTCGGGCTGGTTTCCGTGACAGAGCTCCTGGGAACGACCATCTAAGAAAGGAATCTGCACGAGCCCATCCTTACCTTCGCTGTCAGGAAGACGTTGAAGTGCTCATTGAAAGAGAGCACGGGGTGATCCGTAATTCTTTTCAGGAATTTATCCAAGGCTTTTCTTCTGGTCTCCACAAACTCCTCCGAGAAGCGATCCACAACGCCTTTCACCACAAACTTCTCAGGAAGTGGCTGTGGAGGCAGGAAGGGAAACACCGAGAGTGATTGATGAGATGGTATGAGGAAAAACGGTCAGGCTGGCGAAGCATCCCATCAGCCATCTGGACAAGAGTAGTGCTCCTTAACTGAACAGACTGTTCGGTAGTAGTTAATACAGATAGTAAGAAAGAAGACATGAACAGACTACAATTACTTTGCCAATTTTATCACACAAGAAATAAAATACTATAGCATACTCCCTGAAACATAGAAAAGGGCATATTTATCCAGGAAATGCAATAGTTCTAGTTGCATGGTTTTATCTAGCTCCACAGCAACTTATCAAATATTTGATTAAAAAGTCTTCCTGGACCCAATGCAACAGCCTAGCAGCTAAAGTCCTCGCCTTGCATGCATCAGGATCCCATTTGGGTGTCAGGTCTAATCCCAACAGCCCCGCTTCCCTTCCAGCTCCCTGCCTGTGGCCCGTGAAAGCAGTCGAGGGTGGCCCAAGGCTTTGGGACCCTGCACCCGCATGGGAGACCCGGAAGAGGCTCCTGGCTTCGGATTGGCATAGTATCGGCCATTGCGCTCACTTGGGGAGTGAATCATCGGACGGAAGATCTTCCTCTCTGCCTCTCCTCTCTGTATATCTGCCTTTCCAATAAAAAAAGTGATAATAAAAAAAAAGAAAAAAAAAAAGAAAAGTGTTGGTGAGGATGCGGGGAAACTGGAACCCTTCTACAGTGCTGGCAGGAATGTGAAACGGTGTAACCATTGTGGAAAACAGCCTGGTAGTTCCTCAATAAGTTAAACATAGAGTTTTCATGACTCAACAATTCCATTTGTATATCTCCTAAAAGTAAGCGTACATCCAAAAACTTCATGTGAGTTATCATCATAGTCCTATTTATAATGGCCAAAAGGTAGACACCAGCCCAATGTCCATCAATGGGTGAACTGGTGAGCAAAACATCACATATCCAGATAATGGAATATCATTTGGCCATCAAAAAAGAATAAAACATTGAAACATTCTACACTGTGGTTAAACTCTGAAAAATGATTACGAGAAGCAGAAGAACCTAAATACAAAAGTAATACATGATCTCACTTATGTGAAATGTTAAGAAGTCAGCAAATCCAGAAAGACAGAAAGTGATGAGTGTTGCAGGGGCTGCAGCGAAGTGGGACAGGGACCTGAGTCACGGGAGTGATGAAAACATGAACCTTAAGAAGCTGCTGACGTACACCATGACTGCTCTTGATGTCACTGAATTGCAGACAGTGAGATAGCCAAAATGACCAACTTTCATGGCTTTTTCCCAAAGGCTCTCTGCTTATTAGTTATTTATTTATTTGAAAGGCAGACTGACAGAGAGATTGAAAGGAGATCTCCCATTTGCTGGCTCATTCCCCAAACAGGACAACAGCCAGGGCCAGCCTGAAGACAGGAGCCAATACTCCACCCAGGCCTCCCTGTGGGTGCAGGATCTCCAGCACCCGAGTCATCACCCACTCCTCCCAGGTGCATCAGCAAGAAGCTGGATCAGAAGCAGAGCAGCCCAAACAAGCCAGCACTCCAACGTTGGATGCTGGCTTCCTAGTGGCAGCGTAGCCACTGTACCACAGTGCCTGGCCCTTAGGATTTTTTGTCTTGTTTTGTTTTACTACAATACAAAAGTGTTATAAATGCCTAAATCATAAAGCAGAGTAGTAATACTAGTACCATATCATTAACCTACCACTAACCTTGACAATCAGACTGCCACTATGGAGAAGGCTTGGGGTCAGCCAATCAGATCCTACCTCTTCCTATCCTCCATGAGGGGACCATGATCTCACATTCTTGGTTCATTGTCCCCTATACTTTATAGAAAACAATGTGTTACTCAGCAAGTTAGTCTTTTCATTTGAACTACATAAAAAACAGACCTATACTTTGCTTTAGTCATTTAACACTAGCTTCTGGGATTTATCCATACAGATGCATGTTAAGCAGCAGGACCTGACCATGCCCACACGAATGGCCTCTCACAGACACCATCACATATGCAGGTATAAATCAAGTCAGAAAACAACCAAGCTGAGGGTCTGGGTTTTCCCATGTCTACCAGAACAATCACATGCATTTCCCTTTGATTTGTTGAGTGGTAAGTTCACACATTTTCGAAGGTTAAATCAATCTAGCAGTTCAAGTTCAGAATGACAGAAATTTTAATACATACATTTAAGTCCACAAACTCCTCAAAACTCATAATATGGCAATAAAGAGATTTTCTTTCTTTTATTTATAAACACCCAGAAACAAAAGACACTAGAAATAAGATATAGCAACAGGCACGAGTGGACTTAACCGACTTTAAGAAGTAGCTACTAGGCCACTCAGAATCGGAGGCTAACAAGCAGTCTACAGATGTAGAACACAAAGCATTTGAAAGATTTAGGAACTGACAACTCCAGCACCCTTAGAAATTTAGAACTTGGGGCAGGAGGGAATGCAACAGCCCTGGTTCCAAAGAACTCTGGAGAGTCAGGACGGTTTAGCTTTCAACAATGCCCCGTACCTGGGTCCATCTCTCACCTGTGCTGCTTCTTCCAAGTGTGGTAATCCTCTGATACCTTGGTTTCCTCATCCATAAAATGCAGGTAATGCAGAACTACCTTCATATTGTTGTTCTAAGAACAAGATGAGCTACTATGCCAGAAACACTTTCACTGATCCCTTCCACAGAGCAAACCCTCTGGGACAGTCTGGGGGATTTTGTTGGGAGTGTTTGCAGCCTCAGGGGACTGCCCCTTTTCAGAAACATCCTGTGTTCGACTGAACGGACACAGTGGCGGGGTACAGAGGAGAGTTGAGACATGAGGTGTGGGGCATTTCCTTACAGCAAACTGAACATCTTCAAAGGCATAATTTCAGAAATGAAAGAAAAGCGGGGAGACACAGGAATAAAATGCCGAAGTCCCCTGGGGGAGAGGGTAACAAGTCCAAGACTGACACGCAGTGGAGCTTACACCAGGACAGAGTATTGGGCAGGCAACTCTGGGTCAGAAGTTAAGGCCACCCAGGCCAGTCATTGAGCCTACTGAACATATCGGAGCAGCTCGCTCAATAGTGTATGGCCATCATTTAGAATAATCTTATTCTGGTCAGGTTCTCTCCATTCCTTTAGGTTGCCATTCTCATACTATAATCTTTCAAGCCAAGCAGTCTCAGCTCTCTGAAGTGGGAACCAGGTGTAAGAACATCACATGGAAATGCCCCAGGCACTCCACTCCTACCAGCATTCAGTAAGTCCCAATGGTCAACATCTCCCTCTCCAAGGCTAACCACTTCATTTGTGGCCTTGACCCAATTACTTCACTATGACACACTTGTCATCACCAACTAATTATACTTCCTCGTCCTCTATCTTCAACACTTGCCCACCTGGTGGTTCTCTCTTTACCTGGGAAAAATAAATTCAACCACTCCTTGACTTTCACTTTTCCTACAATGTCAACTTTTTTTTTTTTAAAGATTTATTTTTATTATTTTTTTATTGGAAAGGCGGATATACAGAGAGGAGAGACAGAGAGGAAGATCTTCCGTCCCATGACTCACTCCCCAAGTGAGCACAACGGCCAATGCTATGCTGATCTGAAGCCAGGAGCCTCTTCCGGGTCTCCCACGCGGGTGCAGGTTCCCAAAGCTTTGGGCCGTCCTCCACTGCTTTCCCAGGCCACAGGCAGGGAGCTGGAAGGGAAGCGGGGCTGCCGGGATTAGAACCGGCGCCCATATGGGATCCCAGGTGTGCAAGGCGAGGACCTTTAACCACTTGCGCCACCGTGCCGGGCCCCAATGTCAACTTTTTTAAAGAGTCACTTATTTCAACTCCTCCTCTCTCCATTGACATTTCAACTCCCAAGTCCAACCACAAAACCAATTCTGGTACTGCTTTCAATGCTGCGTTTCTCTGCTCTATCCCAACCTAGAGAAGAAACTTATTTCTTAAATATGATAATGACTTTCTGGTAACCAAATCCGGTGGTACTTTTAATTTTTTAAAAAATATATTTTCATTTTATTTAAAAGGCAAAAAGAGACAGAGAGACAGAGAAAGGGAAAGAGAGAAAGATCTTCCATCTTCTGGCTCATTCCCCATATGCCTGCAATGCCTGGTCCAAGCCAGGCCAAAAGCCCACCTGAATCTCCCACCGGAGTGGCAGGGACCCAACTACTTTGATCACCATCTTCTCCCCACAGATTTTGCATCCATGGGAAGCTGGATCAGAAGGGGACTTGGGACTCAAAACAGGCACCATTCTATGAGACACCGACACCCCAGGTGGCATCCTAACTGACACAGTACTCACCCTCCAATGGATATTTTCTGCTGTTTTTTCATGAGTCCTATTGAACATACTCTCACTTATTTCCGTTAAGACTTGGGAGCAAGGCCTGATAAACAAATAACCGGATAGGCGTGCCTTGTGCAGCGTCACAAATGACTTCCTGAATCAGTGGTCCATTCTTCACATTTAAAACATTCAAAGGGTGTTTACAGAACTGGGGAACCTGACATTTAAAAGAACCCTGGGGTGAACTCTCGTGCCCAGGATTATTACTCCCAAGCATACATGGATTCAGAAATGTGTTTCTTCCTGTTTTTGAGCTCCCTTAGTGATGCACACCTACTCTCAGCTTTACTGTTACTACACTCCAGGTTGGTTCACGCATGGGAACCTGGCCTGCTGCTGGAATTAAGTGCCATCAGTAGTAGCATGTAAACCAAGAGCCTGACAAGCTGCATGCACATACCAGACACCGAGCGAACACTACTAGGTGTTGCTATGAACTCGAAAACTCCGAGAACAAAAAGCCAAACTGCGAGCAGCCTTCAGGGCAGAGCTTAAACGTATCTGCTAGGTCAAAATCTTTAAAGAAATAATCTGGGATATCACTGCATGCTCACTAGGCTGCTTGTTTTAAAAGTAAAAAATATAAGAAGGGAATCCCACTGCCTATCGCTACCCTGGGAGAAGGGAAG